TTTGGAAGTCCATGGCACTTTCAATACTCTCCTCCAACACCATAACTCAAAAGCATCAATTCTTCTATGGTCTTCCTTATTCACTGTCCAGCTTTCACATGCGTATGAGGTTACTGAAAATACCATGACTTGGGTCAGGCACACCTTAGTGTATGGGGGCTAAATGCTTGCAAATGGCCATTTGAGATCCAATTATTGGTCTCTAATCATATGGAGGTTCAAAGAAAAAGATGAAGACTTCCAGCGAGGTGGACTGGAAACGTGGCAGCATCAATGGGTTCAAGCGTGCAACAACAGTGTGATTGGCCCATGATCAGGCATTGTTTTGTTCTGCTGTGCATTAGGTCGCTATGAGTCGGTACCAACTCAATGGCACCTAACAGCAACAACAATCACATGGAGCAAAAGACAAGGAAATCAAATACCCAAAAGAGCAACTAGTTCCCAGGATCAATAGCCCACACGAACTGCTTCTGAGACCAGAAAAATGAGATGGTACCTGGCTACAACTGACTCTTCCAACCCGGGGTACAACAGAAGGTCCAGGACAGAATCAAAGAAAATGTAGAAAATTACAATTCATACAAAAGGCCAGACCTACAGAATCCTGTTGTGGCACTGCAGAATAATGCACTGGACCACAAGGTCAGTTTGAGCAGCAAGGTCAGCAGTTCAAACCCACCAACAGCTCCTCAGAAACCCTATACAGGACCTCTTGGAGTTGGATCCGACTTAATGGCACTTAACAACAACTTCATTGATAAGAGACTAGAGGAAACCCTGAGATTAACTTGAAACTGAACTTGAAGTTATTTCTGTAGGTCACCTTTTAGCCAAACAATAGACTGGCTTATAAAATAAATAGTATCACCCATGAGCAATGTATTCCCTTAAACAATTAACTACATGAGACTAAACAGTCAACAGTTGCCTAAAAACAAAGATGAGAAGGCAAGGAGGGGAAGGGAAGCTAGGTCAATGGTAACAGAACACACAGAATAGAAATAGGATGCTGACCACATGAGAAAATTGTAACCAGTGGCACAGAACAATTTGTATAAAAACTGTTAAAGATGAACTTAAATGCTGTAAAAAACAAAACGCAACCGCAAGAAGCTTATCAGTAGAAAACTCAAACCTCTGCTGCTTCTACAAGTTGAGGTTATTTGTGTGGCAAATTCTCTATTAAGAGTGCACTTTAATAGTTTTCTCCATCACATCTGCACTAATGTGGTAAGTAGGAGTCAATAAAATCGCAAACAGCTCATTTACAACTTCCTTGTTATTTAAAAATTTAAAAAAAGGATGTGTGTGTGTAAATTCAAGCAGATAGTGTAAGTCTCAGAAACCAATTTAGAACTTTCACACTCTATCTGTATTCCTTTAGTAATGAAACAGGAATACTTTTATGTTGGCTGTGTAGATTGACATTCGTTTGAATTGCTGAGCATAGAAATTGGCATTAACTTGAGGGGGAATTCAGAAAGTTTATAAAAATTCCATTATCTTTTTAATTCTGTTTCCATAAACTTTTGAAGCCCCTTTGACTCTCAAGAGTCAGCACATTTACATAAGTAAAAATGGGAGGCAAAGAGATTTACAGCATAAACATGCCAATGTTTGTGGCTCTCATTTAATTTTATCAGCACTTCCAAGAGTTCAAGTTCTCTGTAGAAATAAATGTCTAAGTGCCCAGGTAAATTGATCAAACTCACCTAGATAGTGAGTAGTGGACATGGAATTCGATTTGCTTGTTTCCCAGCCAGCTCAGGCTCTTTCCTTCCACCATGCAATGCTGTCTCCTAAGAGATGATTCACAAAGCCAGCTTCAGAACTCTCAATAATAGACATCATGCTGTGTTTACTATGTTGTTGTTGTTAGGTGCCATCGAGTCAGTACCAACTCATAGCGACCTTATGCATAACAGAACGAAACACTGCCCGATCCTGGGCCAACCTCACTACTGTTGCCACACTTGAGTCCACTGATGCTGTCACTTTGCCAATCCATCTCATTGGGGGGGTCTCTTTTTTTCACCTTACCAGACATACCCTTCTCCAGTGACTGGTCCCTTCTGACAGTATGTCCCAAGTATGAGAGACTAAGTTTGGCCATCCTGGCCTCCAAGAAGCACTCTGGCTGTACTTCTTCCAACACAGATTGTTGGTTCTTTTGGCAGCCCATTGTATTTTCAATATTCTCCTCCAATACTATAACTCAAAAGCATCAATTTTTCTACGGTCTTCTCTATTCAATGTCCAGCTTTCACATGCATATGAATGGATGTCCCTTATTTCTTAGCTAGAAAATGACATCATAAATGATGTTTGTAACGGGACACTAAAATCCTGCACCAAAAACTGAGGTTTAACTTGTCAAGGAAGGAAAGCTATGATGTTTCATACATATTTAAATAGACAAAAAGTACTAACCCTTCTCTCCAAATAGAAATACAAGTCTAAATTTACTGACTACCCTAAAACCAACAGCATTATGCATAGTACACAGACATTGTAAACAAGAAGCATCCAGCCAATCACATCTAACACCACCATGTGCATTTATGAATTGAAGATGCCACAGAAGACCATCTATTGGCAAATACCGGTGACTCTGGAGTGGCTGTGTACTCATTCACCACACAGATGCTACCAGTACAGTGACTACTCTCCTAAATCTGAGGCAGACCTGAGACCTACAAACCAGCAGAGAGTGGGGCACTGGTTGAAAAGAGAAATGAATAAAGGATGGGCAGAAAGAAGCCCAATAGGATATTAAAATTCAGGAGCAATTTCTTGCCAACTCCAAATGTTTTCAGGGATTTGTGTCTTTAAGTATCACTTAGTACCTTAGCCCATTTAGAGACAGATTAGTAAACTGGCAGAACCATTACTGTGGTAATCCATATGTAATTCCTTTTCTCAGAAACAAACAAAAAAATACTGGTAAGTGAGCAAACTGTATGCTGAGATTCAATAAAAATTTAGATGGGGTCTCCCTTTAGTCCTCAGAGACATTACATAGGAAGGTATGGTATGAAAAATGCTTTAGAGATAAAAATATTTTTTTAAAAAACATAGATGTTCAAAAATATTCACTATCTCTAACATACCAAACTTAGATTAGAAAAGGTGATGATATAACTGTAAATTTAAAGAAAAAAAAGGGGGGGGTTCACCATACCAAAAACTCACTTAAAATCATGAGTTTTAAGTATCAGGGAAGATATTCCACCCTGCCACCAGAGCAAGGCTTGATTGCTCTGAAGTAACAACACTTGAAAGCTCCTATTCTTTGAAACTAATTTAAACACACTGAATTGTTGAAAGATTAAAAACCGCAGTCAGCTAATTACACACACTCTCATCTCTTATTCAGCAAATGAATCACTTTTCATTACCACTTAGCTGAAGTACATGAATTTCTGCCTAATTAGAAATGTTGTAGATGGAACATTAGCAAGAATGGAGCAGGTCAGGATATCTTTGTTGCTTCATTTTTAATTCCTAACATTAAGAGTCTGATGGGAAAGAATAGAGAAGTCATTAAATTATTTTAAATTATTTACAAAAATTACTTTGCCCAAATTATAATTATTTTTTCCCCAAACGGTCTCAAATGTCTAACAGAATGAAAGAAAAAGCAGTTCAACATTGATTTTAATGAACATTTTAATGTTATGAATAACAGAACATTATGAATACATGGAAACAAAGTTTTATCAATTTAATAAAAAAAATTTCAACATAAAGCAGGGAGGTAATAATTTGATACCTATATTATTTATTTTTAAAAATATTCCCAGCTTAGGGATGAAACAATTAATTTTGCATTCCAAACTCTAGAACCATGATTTTCATGTGAGCAGAATTACAGCAGGAAAAAAAAAATTCCTTTTTCTTTAAATCAATAAAATCTTTGACTGCTATAGGTCTCCTTTAATAATATATATTTACCTGCTCTTTATGGGAATAAGACCTTGTTAACGCCATAGTATATACACTCAAAACCAAAAGAAAACAAATACTGTATTAATGTGTAAAACCAACGTTGAGGTCTAACATTTTTATTTAACTTCAGTTTTTCATGAGTTTTGATCCCTTCAATGTTTCTTTGAAAAGATGCCTCAGAAATAAAAACAAAACATTTTCCTTTTGTGATTGCTGCTGCCTGTTAAATGAGGGCTACAGAGATGAATGCAGAAAGAAGCCTTGCTCGGTGAGTCACTGCAAACTCTAAATCATGACTGCTAAACACAAACTAAAACACGGGAGGGGTTTTACCCCCCAAAGGAAACCATACAGCAGTCCTGAAAAAAAAATTTATTCCTAGTTCTGCAGAGGCTAATTATAGCAGAAGATGTGGGAAACTCTCATAACTATCACCAACTGCTTAAAGTTCTGTTATAATAAAAATTTGGATAGTATAATAGCAGTTTTGCTGGAACATTAGCAAAAGTATATACATTTCAGTTACCTTTGATTTAGCCATAATCACATATGTATGCCTTTTTTGGACAAAAATATATATTTTTATAAAAAACTGATCAACTTTAATGATTTCATATATGGACTCAAGAGTGGTAGGAAAAGGAACAGACCCAATTATGACAAGGGGACTCGGACAGAAAAATCAAGTTCCTCAGGAAAAGAAAAGTACAAAATTAGAGATTCAAACACATTTATTCAGTCCTATTCCAGTCTTCCCACAAATGATGATGTTAAAACAGGCTCTTCAATGTATAAAGGCTCTCCATGGTCTCACTACATCATCTGTGGTCTAATCTCACTGGGTAAAAATGATTCTACCTCATCTGAAGTGCCCTTGACAGTCCATCTGAAATACTTCACTTTTATAAAACAGCTTTTTTTTGGTTCTTTATGTAGGTTTATTTCAATTAATTGATAAAAGAAATGGGAGTTAATTAGCATTTTTCATTCGAACATCACCTATCTGCACAGCTAAAAATCCTTCATTCAACCTGCTTCTTTACAATCTCTTATTTACTAAAGTTGGTGAAGTTTGCAAAGGCATCTTGCTTGGGTTGCACAGTTCCAGAAGTCATGGCTATGTTAGGCATGCCCATTCCCATTGTGCCCGACAGGCCCATCCCAGGAGATGACATCCCTATGTTCATGTTCATGCCCATCATGCTCTGGTTCATCACTGGAGTATTTCCAAGAGGAGCCATTCCCATGGTGCCAGTCATCACATTGGGCATGCTTACAGGCATGGCCCCCCCAATCAAAGGGTTACTTTGAGGCCGGACAGGAAGTATGTTTGATGGAGAACTGAGGTTCACGGCTCCAAAACTTTGGGTTATCACATTCATAGGCTGTTGCATATCTATCAGAAAAGACACAAAAGAACCTGAATATTTAGATTCACAGTGCAGAAAAATAACATTGTCTTCTTGATTAGCAATAGCTTCTAAGTCCTGACAAAATTCCTTTATAGTGATTTTATAGGAGAAGTCAATAGAACTCAATTAATTTGTTCTGATCATTTCTGAGAAACATTCAGTGGCTGCTGGCTCTGGTTTCAAAATGAGAGATGTAGACACAGTACGGTAAAAATCAGAATCAGAGATACAAAGATATACCCCAAATCATAGAATTATTTATAATAACAAAAAGTGGGAAACAATGTAAACAATAATAGAGGAATTATCCAAAGAGGCTTCAAAAAGTTCATGGAAAAATGGAATTAAAAGAAAAGCAAATTTTTCATATATTTTTGAAGCCCCGCCCCATCCATACACTGATAAGATAGAATATTATGAGGCTCTGAAAACCCTTTTTTTTGATGAAGAATAACAATATAGGCAAAAAATATTAGTAATTTAAATTCTGATGGGACCAGCCGGAAAAACAATGAGACAGAATGATCCCAAGCACTAACATGCTTAGAAAACAATGGAAAGACATATGGATTAATGGTAATTATCCCTGGATTGTAGAGCTGAGACGACTTTTTTCCTTCATTATATTTGCCTATATTAAATTCAAAAAACAAAACAAAAAAACCCCTACAACAACAACAACAACAACAAAAAAACCCCTACAACAAACTCACAATACAACAAAAGGCATCACGGCAAAAATAGAATAGAAAGTAATGTTCTCTCTCAGAACAGATACCAAATAAGTATGATGTGAAAAGATCTTATGTGAACACAGTCAACCTCACTGGAGTTTATATGTCACAATTTTTTTTCTTCATAACTTGAAATAGTCCTGACATCAGAGCAAAAGATTACAAGCATACACAGTAATGAGATGTCACGCGGTAACTTACTCTGTTGCTGAATCATTGTATTGAGCGACGGCTGCTGGGGTTTGGAAGGCTGCATACCAGGTAGTAAGTTGTCTAGGCTGATGTTTACACTGGGGTCAGACCATGTAGAGGGCAAGGTTTTGCCAACTGATTTCTGGACCATATCTGTATTCTGATGATAGAGAGGATTAGGCTTCTGCAGCAATGGGCTAACATTTTGCAAAGGCTGAAAAATAGAAAAATGCTCTAAAAATTAAGCATCTGTTCATGTTATTGACCGGCGAAGACTATCAAATGGCAATTTAATCATAAAAATTCCAAATATATACTAGACTTTGTAATGAACTCCTGAAATCAAAAGGGATCACACAAATTCTATGTTAGTGTCTTCAATTCCCTAAATTCACTAGCTTCCCAAAGTTAATTATCCTGAAATTCAAACCATGTTAAGGTGGGAAAAAAGCTCCCACATACCTCTTATTGCTGCTGTTTTGTGCCGTGGAGCCGGTTCCGACTCACAGCGACCCTGCACAGGGTTTCCAAGGCTGTAAATCTTTCTGGGAGCAGAGCCTCATCTTTCTCCCGCGCAACAGCTGGTAGTTTCAAACTGCTGACCCTGAGGTTAGCAGCCCAATTCGTAACCACTACGCTACCAGAGCTCCTAACATACTGAATAAGTACCCTGAAAGAATATAACCTTTCATTATTTTAAATCATTCAGTGTCCCTGTTTTGTTCGAACAACTGCCTCTTGGGTTATGTACAGGCTTCTCATGAGCACAATTAAGTGTCCCCACATACTTACACTACCATTTATCCTGACATCACCCATTTTAGAAGCCACCATCCTGGCAAATACTAGCCATTGTTAGTGGCAAATGTTATTCTCTGTACTTCCTTTATAATCTCACAATTTGGATTATTACCCAAATTATACAAAGGTACAAAGAATGCCCAGAGCAACTACCAACTTCAGGCTAGTAGAGTTTTAAGGAAATATACATTTGGAAATTTCTTCTTACAAACTGGAATTCAGGATTTCTCACATTCTACACAAGTAACACATCATATCTCACAGATCCTGACTGACATTACTCTGCTCCATGTACATGTCCCACTGCCTACAGTGAGTAACACCAGTAGACCTGGAAGTATACAGACCAATTTGTTGTAAGAAGCACAGGTGCCTGGGAATACTGATGAAGACAGAAAAAGGGAAAATAGAAAGAACTGAAACTGTATAACAATGTTAAGAATTGCAACACAGTTACTTTTAAGACAGTAAAGAAAGTAGACTGTTTTATTTTTAAGGCACATGAAAGAAACTCAAAGAATAAACTGGTTTATTCACAGCACAAATTCAATTAAATGGAACTGGTATGGGAACATGTGTTTTTTTCTTATTGTTGGTTCTAAACAGTCGCCTTTCTGCTGCCTTCTTGTCTTCTCTCATTGTAACAACTAAGAGAGAAGAATCTACACATTAAAATGACTAATAATTAACATCATGCTCTCAATTAGTTGTTGTTGTTGTTGTTAGGTGCCACTGAGTTGGTTCTGACTTGTAGCAACCCTGTATAGGGTTTCCTACGAGCAGCTACTGAGTTTGAACCACCAACCTTGTGGTTCAAACAGACCTTATGGATGAGTCCTTATCCTACAGCCCACACCAGGATTCCACACCACACTCTCAACAGCTTGTCAGACAGTTAGCAAATTCCTGATATAATTCAGACATCTACTTGTTAATATGTTTGTTGTGGGTGAAGCATTACTTCTATTTCTTTTCCTTTAAAATTAAAAAACACTACACATATACACACTCACAGGAGCTTCAAAAAGTTCATGAAAAATGGAACTGAAAGATAATGGAATTTTCCCACCAATTTTTTGACATCCCCTAGTGAATATGTATATGTGTGTGTCCCCCCCACCCCCACACACACAGAGGCACTGTTTAGTGTCATCGAGTTGGTTCCGACTCATACCTACCCTGTATAGCGTTTTCAAGGAGCAGCTGGTGGGTTTGAACTGCCAATCTTATGGTTAGCAGTCCAGTTAAATATCAACATACTGTAATTCAATACATTTTTAGCATGTGCTTCCTCTTGTAAGGACCATGCCTGGATTTGTGAGGCTAAGATGGGTGAGAAGACCTTGCCCTCCAGAACCCAAATGACTATACCCTAGGAAAAAAGTACGGTAAACATGCAAAGAAAATACTATTTCTAGAAAGGGCTTGCTTTTTTCTCTGCTTTATGTCAATCTACCATTAGATTAGTTAAGAGGATCTCAAAATGATGAATTATAATTTCCAGTGGAGGTGGGCAGCTTACCTGTGATCTTGACATAGGCAAACCAAGCCCTACAGTATTAGTGCTCATCATAGAGAAATTCATACTCTGGGAAGATGTCATAGTTGCCTGGGATGAGCCCATAAGATCAAACAGGTCTGAAGAATTCGAGGCAGCGGGGGGTGGGCCTAAAGCTGGTTGTGTGCCACTGAAGAGTTCTACAGCAGGCTGTGAGGCACTGCCAAAGAGCTCGCCACTGGAAGCAACAGGGCCGGACTGGGCTTGGTTGAAGGCACTCCAGTCACCAAAGTCTCCATTCCCACTTGTTGTTCCTGAGGAAGAGAAAACTACAAGGGTAAGAGATTTTCTGAAATGCACAAAACAAATATAATAATCTATGAACTGAAACAAATTGGAGCTAATTTATGTTCATCCAGATTAACATCTGCAGGTAACATTTCCATTTGGACATTTTTCTTTCTCACAAATACTCCACAAGTGTTACCAAGGGGCGGCAAAGGAAAAAAAAAGCTCCCACATATAAAATAAAATCCATCTCTTGGCAAGTCTATAGTTGACAGTTAAAAGTTATAATCAAAACTTCCCTTCAAGCCTACCTACATATAAACTATGAAGGAGCTTTATAAAGTTTGTGGAAAACTTCCATTATCTTTTAATTCCATTTTCCCGTGAACTTTTGGAAGCCTACTATGTGCCCAGCTAAATAATTATGGTTTGCATGGGTCTCAGAAAAGCACATGGGAAACTGTCAAATGGTTAAACTTTTGCTGGGAGCTCTGGAAACCTCACACAAGGAGACTGTAAAATCTGAAAACTCTCATTCATTATTTGGAAAGGTTCTGACAGTAATCACAACTTATATGGCTTCAAGTAATAAAAATCAACATTAATGAGGTCTATAAAAGGCAAAAATAAAATAATCCAGCAAAAAATGGTGGCAGGAAGAGTTAATAAAATTAAAGAGTAGGGTTAGAAAACGTCTATTAAGAACTTCTCACTCATTTGACCATGCTTCCTTTGACAACAGAAAAGCTACAGCCAAGATAAAACTACATAGTTTGTTTTAACTGGGGCTGTTCAATCTTTTTACGTAAATAAAGAGAAGTATTGCTTTAAAAAGAGAAATTCAACTTTTATATATACATACATACATACATATATATATATCCACTTTGCCAATCCATCTCACTGAGGGT